ATAAAGGATGAGAAAAATTGTATTAGTTAATCAGGAATAGGACACTATCTCTCTCCTTTCGGGTTCTTTCGTGAACCTCGTCCTTACATAAATACTTCAAGGAAATGAAAAGTCGTCACATTATACCTAAGGGTCCATGCCACAGAGGTCTATATTGGGGTCCCCTTAATTTTGAGAAACTACAATTTATCTGGGGTGGGGGATCGGGGTTTGGCTTAATACGACATGGGCACTCAGCCCTAAGTAATAATTTCTCAGAATCGTATTCACATTCTATCCATTACTCCCCTTCAGGAACCAGTAAAACCCTAAACCCTCAACCCTTAAAACCCTAAACCCTAAACCCCTAAACCGTAAACCCTTAAAACCTTTAAAATCCAAAAGCGGCTCAGCTTCCAAGCTTTCAGGACGAATCCCGCAGACCCGAAGTACATTCTACCTTCCCCAAAGGGTCCAAGCACCCAATAACTAGGTCCCCCTTAAGGGGGGTCTAGAGGGATATAGGAGTATATAGGATTTAGGGTTTAGGGTCCCAGTACCCAAATAATTAGGTACTTGGGATTTTGGTAATAGTAATTGTAGTATAGGTTTTGGGTAAGTATATGATTATTGGGTACTTGGACCCTTAGGGCTTGGGAAATACTCTATCATAGCATACTAGGGTCATGCAGGGTTTCGGTATAAACAATGCATAATTACGAAGCAAGCCCCCCAGTGGCACACATATCCCGTGAGCCCAGCTCCAAGTGAAACCGGCTTTGGCCGAAACACCAATTTAATTTGAAGTCTGATTCCTTTAATCTAGGTTTTAGGGATTCGGGCTTGGGATTGAGGATTTAGGGGGCTTAGCGTTAAGGGTATAGGATACCCAAGCCCAGCACAAAAGACCAAAGCCAAAGCCACTAAGCCACAACCCACCCAATCCTCAACACCGCACAACCCTCTAAATGGAGCTTTCCCAAAACTAGGATTATAGAATTTCGGATCTATATGGGAGTCCCCGTAGTCGGGGGCTTACTATAATTACTGTTATTGCTATAATTACCATTATCACTATACTTACTATTATTAATCAAATTTACTAAGTGTCCGTTGCTGACAGCAACGTGCAAGGCAGTGCGTTGGTCCCAGTTCACGCAGCTCACGCTGACCTTGTTACCTCAGCTGCGCTAGATCGTAGCTTTGGGGCTTAGGGGTTAGGGTTTAGAGCTTTGGGTACCAAACCCCCACCCAGATTATCCTAATTGGCGGGGATTTTGGGGCTCAGGGGCGTGTACGGGTTCAGAGTGACTGATTTAGCTCGTCTAATTACTGGATCCATGAGCTTGCGCTTGCTCGCAACAATTTCCCAGTAAGGGATGCGAGATGATTTGTGAGAGACTCAGCCCGCCCGGCCAAGATGTATGGGAAGTTGGACAATAATCCCTTTGCTACGACTGCAAGTGGCTTGGCAGTTACTGCTGCATACCCCAACCCAAACGAAGAGATTCTCACAAGGCCCGCGCGGAGCATGCAGAACTGGCCCAACTTCAACATTCCACTAACCCGAAACGTTGATAATATAGGTACATGTATACCCATGGATATATCCGTACATATCTATGTGTGTGTGCATATGATATGTCACCACTGGAGCGGAGGTCACAATGATCCAGTCAAGCGGTTGGAGCAAGGTCCTAAAGATCCTGTCTTAGAAGTTTGGTTCCAAGCTGTTCCAGACCCTAAACCCTAAACCCCTTAACCGCGTGTAAATGTTAACCCCTCAACAATACATGGACCCAAACTGCAAACCTCAACCCTCAAGTCCCTAAAGCCTAAACCCTGCTTGGAATGTACTTAATACTGGGGGTAATTAGGGTTACTATGTGGGTTATGGGCTGTACGGCCTTCCAACTACAGAGTCCCCCCCCCCCCGCCCGCCCTCCCAGCAACCTCAAATTCAGCGCCTCAAATCCAATTTCTATCATAAAAAGGTTTAGGGTTTAAACCCTAAGCCCTGCACCCTAAGCCCTATCATAAACCCTAAACCTTTGCCCAGCTGCTCCTGAGCATAGCCTCCATCTGCTCCAGCTTACCCTGAGCTGCATAGGCAATAAAGTCGCCAATGCGCTCCTGCTCCTGTGATGCGCCACAAAATTACGGGTCTCTTTTAATCTCTTCTAGGGGTATATACGGATATATAGGGTTAAGGTTTTAGGGTTGGGCATGGTTGGGACCTTGGGTTTTAGGCATCAAGGTGACTGAGGGTTAGAGGTTTAAGGTTTAAGGGTGTAGCTGTTGAGGATCGCGATACCTTGCCACGTCTGAGTCTGAGGCACCCCCGATCGAGGAGCTCATACAATGCCTTTTTAAGACACGAATCCCCCTCTCCCGCCACAAATTTCAACAACCAGCCGGCGAACAGGGTAGCTGCTACTGCTCTCACGGGTGTCCATTTATGTGTACGCAATAGCAATACTACTACTCCGACGAAGATGATTAATGATAGCATGATAACAATAATAACAGCAATAACAACACTAGTAGAAGCTGTATGCTAGTTAACAGCATCGAAATGACAATAGCGATAGGGACCATCTTTGCCCGCTCTCCATGGTGGGCTTGCTTGCCGCAACTTTTCTTCCCCTTCAAGCATGACTAGACGTTCACTCCTTAAACCTTTGACCAGCTTGACTTAAACGTGGTTCGTACGGAATAAGCGAATCTATATTCTACAGTGACTCTCTGGGGATATTTTCCCCTCTTTCTCTAGTAATCACCAGTAAGTTGAAAGGTAAGCCATAAGCTGAAATTTGGATCCCATCAAATCATAGCTATACTCTGCTGCTCTAGCATTCTGTTTACTTGATGGGGACGCTAGCCCATGCCGGCCGCGCAGGCTAAGCTGCCTGCGTAAGTTAAGCCCAGGGTTTCTGCTTGCAAAGATTTGAAACAATAGTCAATATTACACTTAGGCTGAGGCCTCATATAACGCCCACATTCTTTTTATCATCCCTTTATGATAAGACCTATAGACAACTACAGTATATGATTCCAAAAATTCCTGTAGAATCTCTGCGGCCCAAATGATGTCGACATGGCAGCTTGAAACTTCAGGCGCGGTCCTGTGTCTTCTGGAACTGTTTGATGAGCTTCCGTACTTTCGCAACCTCGAGCCAGACACATGAGCTATAGTCTACATTCCTAGTATCCCCCCTCTATAATGGTCCACTGCATAATCCCCTATAGAGTTGAGCCTATTGTTCACATAGGTCTGTGTTCGGTGAGCAAGGGAGTTTTAGCTATCTCCTGCTGAGTCCCCGGAGGCTAGCAGACATGTACAGTGAAGGAATTCGGCTAGATGGAGATTCAGCAAACGGAATCCAGAACGGAATGCGTGATCCTCTGGGGCTAGGGTTTTGGGTTTAGGGATCAAGGGCTCAGGATCGTTCAGCTCCCTGTCACACAGCGCTGAGAAAGAATTTGCCGGCTGCCTGGCATGCGTGCAGATGGCTCCACCTTGCTGAGGTAGAGCCCCCTCAACTGGGTTACTGTTACGGAACTTAAATTAAGTTACTATATTGGGGAAGCCCTATTATGTACTATATATACCCATTATGGTAACTTAATTTAAGTTCCTTAACAGCAACCCAGTCAAACGCTTGCTGCTCCTTGAACAGCTGGGCCAATCACTTTACAATTGAGCTTGGTCTTACATAGGGCCCGTGACGTTCAAAGTGTCATCCGCCAAGGTGTCTCCCAAAACCTGGACATGTGCAGGTTAGTTTGACACATTCACATCGAGCAATACATGAGTAGCGTTTTTTTGGTGGTTGAACCTAGCAATTAAGAGTATATTCCTTATATAAAAAACTATACCCCAAAAGGAGGATATAATCTTACTCTATAATTGGTACCAGAGTATCCCCAAATAAAATACTACTCACATGGGCTCCGCCCGCCGGTTCCAATCCAGGAGGTGGCTTCCGGTGTGGCAAGCGCGTCAACCAAGTTACCTTCCCCGAGACTGTCACGGTAGCCTAGCTCGGGGCCCTATCAAAGTAGACCATAATCCCCGGTATAATTTAGAGACTCCCAAAAAAGGGGCCTCTCATTTTTGGAAACCCCCGCAAGAGTTTCCATGCTGGTCCCCTAGACCGTTTAACCTAAACCATGAGTGAGCGTCGTCAACCCACCCCTCCCCCTACTCATAATACTACCTCCGCACCTTAGGGAAACATCTCGCCCAAATATACTGTAAGCCCGGAACCCTGAGCCTGAGGTTTAAGGCGCTTATAAACCACTAAACCTAGCCCCAAACCCGAAACCCTAAACCTTAAGCCCTAAACCCTCAGCCCTAAACCTGAAACCATCAAACCGTAGACCTAGTCCCAGCCATGCAACTCCCTCCAGGGATAGGTCGTGCAACGTCAACTCCTTGGCATCATGCTGCCGGGTTTTGGGGTGGTAAAAGATACATGTGGGGGATTGTCAAAATTATGGTCCCGCTTTGGGTCCCCTATATTATACTAGGGACCCAAAAGGGACCATAATTGTGACAACCACCCATGTATTCCTGTGGGCTAGGATTTGTGGTTTAGTGTTAAGGGTTTATGGTTTGGGGCTTATTCATTACTGCTTAGGCTTCAGGATAAGAATGTACTAGTGAAGAACCGAAAGAAAATCACATGGAACATGAAATGGAAACTCCAATGTGGCTTTTCATTGGGTTTCGGGGTCAGGGATTAGACTATACCACCCAAGGAACTATGTAGGAGGCTCTGGACGAATACATTCAGAAAAACGCTTCTTGCCCGAGGCTGGGCTGTCAACAACAACCCGAGCGCGTGTCTCGGGTGTTGCAGCAGCGTTGCATGTGATACTTTCTCAAAAATGCAGAGCTTTAAGCCTCTGTCCCCCATGAGATTAAGGTGTTGCAAACATGCCCGCGCATCTACAATAGAGGAAGGTTGTTGAAGAGGCCCAGTTGCTATTCTATCTGCCTGCATACCGAGACTGAGTATGACCTTTCAGTTTCCCTACAACACACTCAAATTTCCTGAGTCCATGCACCACCTAAACTGTCTGAATCCATGCAGCACCAACCCTAAACCCTAAACTCAGAAGCAGCCCCCTTCAATCAGCCAGATACATCAGATCCGTTTCTCTGGAGACCCCCGGCCACTCTCGAATCCTTTGAGTTGGCTACTGCCGGCTCACATCAATGGGGTAGATAGGGTTATATAGAGGCTATCTTGGGATAATGGAAAATAAATGGAAACTACTATTTAGGGTTTTAGGGTGTAGGGTTCAGGGACAGCCCAGAATGGGAGCTAGATTAGTGATTAACGCGCAATATCATTCTCCAACTGTTGCTGACTCCCACAAACCCAGAAAACTTGACCAATGCCTAAGCCCTAAACCCCAAACAACGCAAACTCTGAAACCAGTCTTTGCTCCATACATCTGAAATCCCGGGATATATACCCAATGATGAAGAATCAGATTGACAGGAACATGGAAAATGAAATTGGACCCGGTCTTATGTAGGGGTCTATAGGGTAATGGTAGTTTCCCTAAGTAGGGGGACCAATGTAGACTCCAAAATACTATCATCCTTTGTGTGGGGGCCCTCAGAAATTACCCCTAATTGTGGGAAACCTCTACAAATCAAACCACAAAACCTTAAGCAGCCCGAGGATCTGCAACAAGGTCTACAGCACCTTCCTTGCGCTTCCGCCGCCGCCGCGAGGTGTGTGAAGCCTAGTTCGGGGCTTGGGGCCTCTGGCGAAGTTGCTACTGCTTACGCTGGAAAATCTCCCGCATTTTGGTGGCTCTGGAGCTGCTAGGGGTCAGGGCTGGATGCCAGGGTAAGGCTTCAGTTCTAGGTTTGCGGTCTTGCCAGCTGAGCCTGGGATTTCGCCATGTCATCGTCGTCCTCCCCCCAGATGCCTCAGGTCAAGCAGCGGGAAGGTGATTTTGGTCAGCCAGACATCCAAAGGCGCAGAGAGCCAGCCGCTATCCCATGGAAAATAGGCAAAGCCTACTGCCTGGAGTTCTACAGAGGACAGGAAGGATACGCTCCCGGAAACTAACATGGAAACCCAAAAAGGGCCCTACAAAGACTACCCGAAAGACTAGAGTCCTTCTAAAGGGGTGCTAGATGGGTTTCCATGTTAGTTTGGGGGAGTGTAGTGTCTTGGCAACTCTGCGGCTGTACTGTCAAACCCTTGGGACCATCCTCAGCCTACCGCTCTACAAAGTAACCTCCCCAGGGCTACATAAACACTGGGGCAAAGGGTTGCAGAGTCGATCATAAGAGATTCTAAGGATCTATTCCGCCCTTCCCCATATAACCCCTACATACCCCTATAGAATCAAATCCCTATATAGCCCTGTACAATCCTTACACAACCCTGTGAAATCCCTATATAGCCCGATACAATCCCCATATAACACTATCTGACTCCTGATTAACCTACATAATCCCTATAACCACCAGCGCTCTTCAGAGCACCAGGTAAACATGTTTCTGCAGGCCCGGCACCCATGCCGCCGAGCACTTGATTCTCGGGGTTCTCCTCGAGATTATGTAGGGTTATGTAGAGATTTAAAAGCTCCAGGTCTAGGAAAGGATGGGCACTTGAACTCCCTAAGATAAGAGGCGATACCATAAGACTTACATGCATGCATGTCAATGCGTCTAAGCCCCTTAGCAGGCAGGCTACTTACAAAATGGGGCAGTCCGCCTTGCAAAATGCAGCATTTTCGCAGGGCAATAAACGAAACCTTTCTCCCTGAGATTTGGGGAGACCTGTAACAAGCAATTTCTCATTCTAAGAACACACTTCGAATGCCAATGGCGCGAAGTACTTGTGTCAGCAATAATTTGGATAGTGCATGGCAATGATTTGTGGTTTTCCCTACCCAGGGTCCAGTAGGTGCGGCTTCACCACAAAACACTTCGAGGCGGGAAGATGTCACAAGGCTGCCGCGCAAAACTAGCCTTGACGCAAAGAAAATCAGACACTCCTTAAGCCTTCCAATGTAGTTCCTTTTTGGGTTTAGTATGGTTCTTGGTTGGGACTCTTATTAGGACTACCAAAAAGGTACTACATTGGAGGGTCTAGGTCATTGCTACTGCCCAGATGACATCCTGCCTACAAGAGGGGCCTCAAGGCGAAACAAAACTTTTGTATATTGTGCTCCCCTGTAAACCCAATCAACTGAATGTATCCCGCACTGTTACTATTTGTACTTCTTCTACTGCTACCGCTACCGCTACCGCTACAGCTACTACTGCTACTGCTGCTGCTGCTACTAGTATTACTACTACTACTAGTAGTACTACCACCACCGTAGCTGTAACTTTTACGTGTTTTCAATTGCTTTTGAAGAGAGGACACGCAGTTGCCCTACAGCTCCACTCCACCAAGCCCGGACATCTCGACCTCCCAAGTGCTCATACTGATTGCGTGGAAAACCATAACAACAACTTTAAAACTCATAGCAATATCAGTGCTTACGATAATAGCACTTAACCACGAACTGAGGAGTTTGTTGGTTATTGCTTGGAGGGTCAGGGGGACTTAGTAAGTAGGTTGGGTAATGTGGATAACTAGTTACTATATTGCTTATAGGGCTTAATAACCTACTTACTAAGTCGCCCTGACCCTCCAAGTACTATTACCGAGGCTATTTAGTAGTTTCCCAAAATAGTGGGACCCCAATATAGATCCCAAAATACTATAGTCCTTATTCTTGGGACCCCTAAAAAGGGTACCCCTAATTTTGGGAAACTCCCATTTGGGAGGTTTAGGTAGACCCGAGGTAGGCTCTGAAATGCTCAACAGCGGTCCTCATTGCCATCCTGCTCAGCTGAGGGATCTGGCGTTAGCTTGAGCACGTTGTTGTGGATGACCTCATGGTCCTGCATTAAATTTACTGGTCCTTGCTGAATGTTGATAAAGAAAATCCTGCGAGTAAGGCTCGCTTGGAACACGCACCCTTCAGCACTTCCAAGAAATCAGGAAACTATTTTCTGTCAAACCCTAGATAGGGCCTAACCATCCGCGCAGGGAAAAACAGGGCACACCAAACAGATCGTAGCGTAGGTATGTCCCATGCCCTTCATCAACTGGAACGGAGTGTCTAGCCAAAACTTTTTTTTGTTCAGCTTCTTAACCCAAGGTTACGTCATGGTCCTTCTGGTACAAGGTAAGGGCGTGGTTTAGCTGCTCCAGGGGAACCTTCACGAAGACACTATCCTCCTCACCTTGCAGGAGCTACGGTGTTTACGGTTCAGGCTCCCTGGTGATTCGTAGCTACCGGCTGTAGGAAATATGATAAACTATCCCTCGTAGTGGGAGTACTAAAATGAGGATCCAGTCCTCCAGTCTCTACACACGTGACTACCAGAAAGTCTAGGCTCAAGGGCTTGCATGGCCACTTCTCATCACAAGGGGACATGCTCACGTAGGTTTGAAATAAGTTCCGTCTACTCTGGTACTTCAAGCCACACCACTTTTGTCAGTTATAGGCATGCGGTGCCCCTCACACAGCACTTCAACTAACCATTCCGTCACATCCAGGCTGCTTCTAGACAGCTAGCGTCTCTTACTTGTGGAGTCCCTGTGCTTTGGTGACGAAGGATTTGTACAATATCCAAGCCAGGCTGCTGACGATGGAGATCTCGTGCCGAAGGCCAAACAGACACGACATGTCGCACAAGGCAGTGCCGCGCTCGTCAATGCGATCCACCTGCATGAGCCAGGAGGGAGTTTGCAGGCTACGGATTTAGTGTACTTCCGAAAAAGATCCCCCTGCTGGGGCATACTTTCGAGGCCCCCATTTCTCAAACTGTAAGAGCAAAGGACGAAGCACACGTAGTACATGCCCTATGCAGCTAACCCACATCCTGGAACCGTAAGCCCGAAAACTCCCAGCTTGCACAACACTCAAGAAACTGTAGTCCTCATTCCATGGGTTGCCCTACTACCTTTTCCATACACCCCCCTCCCTAAGGTTCCCTTCTAGTTTAACCCTTAAAAAAGAACTTAGGAGGGTGTAATAGAGGCGGGTAATGAAGGAACCCATGATCTTTAGGGGGCCCCAAAGCCTCCTTCCGCCCTGCTGGTCACCTAGGTCTACCTTTACCTCCACACAGCCAGTACAAAAAAGACAGTACGTAGTCCATGAAGACCCTGTTACGGGGTTCCATGTAAGTACAGGGGCATGGCGCCAGCAAACTCTGCCATTCAGGGGGCAAGCATCTGTAGTTCCAGTCACTGCACCATTGCACAGCTCACGTGTGCAAAATAAAGGGCAACCCTTTAGCTAGGATGCCCTCACATCGCCCGAGTACGCGTTTCAAACCTAGTACGTTCGCACGATGTCACACGCGCAGCTCGAATATTTGTACAAACCCAATTGACTCATAGAATGGAAAAAATCGCACAACACCAGACCGTACCCTCCACCAGGGTACGTAACATGCGCAGGACAGTTTTGGGCCTCCCTCCATGCTGTCTCCTTTAGAACCACTGCTGAGACCCCTAAGCCCGCAGCCTATGCGGCGTTACACGCTTCTCGCAATCCTCCAAAATACGCTGTCCCTGCGCCGAATGTTGAAAGTTGAAAGCTTCTGTAATAGTTTGAATCGGGCGGCTGCCTACATTGCCCCTGAGACCAGAATTAGAAGCGGAACTTGGAATACTGAGCCAGTAATTGGAGCTGGCTGTAGCTGTGATACTTGCGAACATATCTCAGCCGAGGAGAGGGCCCTACAACCCCCTGCCTATGCTACGCCCTTCTCCCTGAATTCGTCTTACTTAAGCTTCATTGTCCTTAAATTGCTCAACTTTTGGGAACAACCTTGTCGGGGGTAAGCTAGGCGGGCTAGGTTAACAACACCGTTATAACCCTAATCATCACCATCACTAACCTAGATACAAAGCCCCCTGACCCTAAACCTTAAACCCCAAACCCAAATCCCTAAACCCTAATCCCTAAATCCTAAACCCTAAGCCCGGAATCCTAAACCCCCAATCCCTTAAACCAACAGCCCAACAGCCCTAAACCCTCAAAGCACTAGGGAAACCAATGAACACCATTCACTCCGATGCCTCCTCTCCGTTGAGATCTCGGAGCTGCGCCGAGCCGCTCTTTAGAACAACGAAATAACCTTTGGGTTGAGGGCCTAGGGGGTTAGGGTTTAGGGGTTTAGGGGTTGAGGGGCTTCGGGTTTGGGGGTGTAGGGGGTGAGAGTCTAGGGAAATAACCTTTGGGTCAAGGGTTTAGGGGGTTTGGGGCCTTAGGATTAAGGTTTAGCGGTTTAGGGGCTTAAGGGGGTTAGGTTTAGGGTTTAGGGATTGAGGGTTTAGTGGTTCTTGGGCATTCAGGGTTTAGGGCCTTTAGGGACGCCAGACCTTTGTATGCTCAGCCGAGAATATCTAAAGGTTGGTTTTGTTAGGGGTGGGGGTGACCACACATATACATATATAGAAAAAGGTATTCAGATATTACGAGAAGCCGTACTACAAGACCCTACTTGGGGTAGGACTCCCGCCAGGCAGCTAAGTCAAAGAGCCCTGTATAGGGTTACAGTTTGAGGATATGAACTATAGTTTGTGTGTAGCTATCATGCAAGAATCACACAACCGAACCCAAAACCCAAAACCCTAAAGAACTGTCTAAGCTGTACTGGGTTGCTGTCAAGGAACTTGATTTAAGCTACACTACTGGAGGAACCACATTAATTGCTATCTGTACCCATTATGGTAGCTTAACTGAATTCCTTAACAGCAACCCAGAAATTGAAGCACGGCTGAAGATTCGCAACCTTCAGCCCTACACACGAAACACCAATGTTATCGCTATTACTGTTGCTATGGTATTGCTTTTGCTTAGGCCGATCCAGGCTTGTAGTCTAGGTTTTCTCATGGACGCACACCAAAATATGACTGTCTCATCTGGAGCCCCTGGCACATATCCCCCCAACAAACATGGAAGCTGATATGAGCCCCTTGTTCAAGGAGTAGCTCCGCAGGGCCTTTTTTGGGCTTCCATGTTTGCTTGGGGGAAGGTAAATCAACTCCAATTTGGCCTATAGATTGTGGGACTTTTCTGAAACATGGACATACTTTCCCGATGAATGAGCAAGATCTTGCGGATAAATGCTGGAGGAGAAGGGCCAACACTGCATATGAAAACGCAAATTTGGGGTTGTGTCAATTTGTGGGGCCTCCTTACAGTACCGCTCGCAATATTCAGGGTGGCCTACTTCAAAAAATGGGCCGTAGTTTGGACAAGCCCGATATCATATCCACACGCCCTGGCTGTCTGAGCCAAGCCAAAGTACTTCTGAGTTCCCTAAGCCCTGAACCCTGGTTCCCTGAATCCATAAACTCTAAACCCTGAATCCCTAAATTCCTAGATCCCTAATCCTCGAAACCTCTCAACCCGTAAGCAACGCCGAAGCACTGGTGGGTTCCCCTGCCCGGCACACAAAAGCTCCTGCTGGCGACGTCAACAGCCTGAAAAATGGTTCAAGCATTTAGGGTTTGGGGTTTAGGGATTGAGGTTCAGGGTTCAGGGTTTAGGCATGGTGGCTTAGGGTTTAGGGTTTGGAGAATTGGAAGTCAATGGGGTAAGTGACAACAAGCTAAAAATCCCGAGCCTCAGACCCTAAACAAAACGGGAAGGGTTGTGGCACTAATAACTGTTACACGGGCTTTGGGGATGTATTATATAAGAGTATATACTTGGATCTTGAGGAATCAGCACAAATTGCGGGCTTTTGGCAGCCCTCTGCAAGAACCATGTTGGCAGCATACCCAAATCCCTAAACCTTAAACCCACAACCCTACATAGCCTAAAATTAAAACTGCTCTGCAGGGATCATACGGATGTAGGGGGAAGGCATCGCCTCAGGATTCCTAAGCCCTAAACCCTAAACCATGTAGGGTTTAAGATGGTTTAAGGTTTCGGGTCTCAGGATTTAAGGCTGGAGATGGTTTAGGGGCTCAGGGTTTGAGATGGTTTAAGGTTTAGGGTGTAACTAGATAGGGCTTAAGTTGGTCTTCAGCTTAATTAGGGTTTAAGGATTTAGGGTTTAAGATGGTTAGGGTGTTTGGCTTAGAGGTTTAGGTTTAAAAATGGCTTCAGCTTTCGGGGTCAGTGCTCGGGGCTTCATACCCAAAATCCATACCCTCAGCCCTCAGGCCCTGGATGAATAGAATTTGTATGAAAAACGGCAGACCCCAAACAGTTGAATTGAAGAACCGCTCAAAACCCCGCCAAAAACCCTCACGCAGATCCTCTACACAATTTCGACGTGGCCTAAATTAAATCCCTCGTCCTGAACATTAGCTCCGAAACTCAGCCACTCAATTTCCCTAAACCCTCAACCCCAAATCCCCTAAACCCTAAGCCCTGAGGCCCAAAACCCTAAACCCCAAACCCCAACCATTAAACCCCTAAATCCTAAACTCCAAACAAATCCGTGTGCGACCTGCATGTTGTTGCCAGGTGCAGTAGGAACGGCTCTGAACAGTCCTGGCTTGCACTGGGTTGCTGTTAAGGAACTTAAACTAAGTTACTGGGTTTAGGGTCCAGGGGGTTGAGGGCTTAGGGTTTAGGGGCTTGGGGTTTAGGGGGTTAGGGTTTAGGGTTGAGGGGCTTAGGGTTTAGGGACTCCGGGTTTAGGGTAGACCCTGTTATTTATTACATACCCATAATATGGTCAGTTTAAGCTCCTTCACAGCAACCCAGTTGACCAGGATCCTCCCTGTACCCTTAAGTTGGGGTATATGGGTCTAGGTAGGTACTGGGAGGGTTGGAGGGGGGCTTATGCAGTAGGTAAATCCAAGTAGATTTATTACAGCATGCTAGGAAGCGCTCTTGAGCTAGAGTGGAGTCATGGGCCTGCTCGACTGAATGAAAGGTTGCAAGCCCCCCTGCCTCTGCAACCCCAACATGAATCTTATGGATAAAGCGACTGAAGCAACCTGCTTGCTGGGACGCTCTCCGAACCCTAAACCCTGAACCGTGAATTTGTCTCCTTGCTTTTGCCAAAAATTTTCAACCAGGACTCTACTGCTTATGTGGTGGTTTCCCTAAATTGTTTGTACCTTTTTCAAGGCTCCCTATGAAGAAGGGTTATAACGCATCAGGGTCATTTTTGGGGTCCCCCCCATTTAGGGAAACTACCATCTTACCCTAAACCCCTAGCGAGAGCGGTAGAGTGGATGTGATCAGGTACTATTATGTGAGCCACAGTCTAAACTTCCAGTATCCCCCTTAATAACCCCTATAGTAGTCCCCTATGTACTCCCTTATATAACCCCGTTTGAAGAGTCTAGACTATAGCTCATGGTGGAGTTGCTACGGCTCCATTCCAACGTCCTCCTTAATGCAGACCCGTGATCAATGAGCCCCTTCCTTTTAAGGGCCTTCATCTTGGGATCCTTATCAGAATCCATATGAAGGGAGCGGTGCTCATTAATCAGGGGTCTACAGTAAGTACATGTAGGTGGCCTCTGTTTGCCGGCCTGCTCCAAGATTCCCCCTCTTGTTTGCAAGACTTATCGACTGCAGACGCCCCAATATTTGAAAACAGTGGCATTAGGCACCGCCATTTCCTGAAACAGCATAAGCTCCTGCTAGTGTCCACACAGACGCTTCAGGATATCGGCAAAGAGACGGATCACAATCTTTAAGTCGAACCTATTGACCCGCGGACGTCGATCTGCCTCAAATTA